GTCCCGGGGGGACAAGGACCCTGGGTTGCCCCCACCCCGCTGAGGGGGAGTTCCCCCTAACCTCCTAGCCCCTGGGGCTTGTATATAGATTATAAATACATAAGGGGGAAAGGGGTGGGTGGGGAGGGCCTGTGGGGCTGGGGCCTCGCTTCCCCTTCTCCCCCTTCCCCTGCTCCCCTATCCCTGGGGCCTTTTGTTAAAAAAGAATAATAAAAGGATTAAAAAATAATAATAATAATAACAGTCAGTAAAATCAGAACAAGGGTAGGATAGAGTTGGAGGCTGACTGAGAAGAGCATGAGGGAATTCTCTGGAGTGCTGGAATGCTCAATATGGAAATTCAGGTTACAGAGATGCATGCAGTTGTCAAAATTCACCAAATAATCTACTTAAGATTTGTATAAAATTATATATGATTTATTTTTTCTTAACAATGAAGAAATTCTTAGCCAAATATTGATAACTTTAGTAACTACATATCATTTGGAGTGAAGTACAGTGATATATGCAACTTATTTTGAAATACATTAAAACAGAAGGACTGACAGACATTTGTAGATACAGTGGTAGATAATTTGTAATAAAGCAAATACAAACTTAAACCAAGGGCTCATGTAGATAATTTTGGAAATGATAGCAATATATGTACAAATATGCTTGACATAATTGATGTATGGAATGTGATAAGAGCTGTTAGAATCCCCAATAAAATGATTTTTTTTTAAATTAACTGTTGTAGAATCTATTTGTAAGAGGGGGTACCCAAAAAAACCCTAGAATTGCGCTGAACAGAGTAGAGCTTTTGTAGTACGCATTTCCCGCTAGGTAAGCATTGAGCAACTCGCTCTGAGTTAGTGCACCCAGTGGCATTGTTTGGGAAAGTTCCCTCTGGTCACAGTGAATTTTTTTCATAAAAGCAGTTTTGCATGAACCACATTTTTTGTGATGGCTGATTTAAGAGAATAGCGTGCGGCTGTGAAATTTTGTTTCCTGCTTGGGAAAAGTGCCGCAGAAGCTGTTGTGATACCGAACACAGCTTCCAAGGACAGCGCTATGGGAAAAACTCAAGTGTACGAATAGTTTTCTCGTTCATGTGACAACTTCCCAGACGGACAAAAATGTCGACTCATAGTGCATTGGAGTTCATCCCCCAGGTCAGACTGTTAATCAAGCTTTCTATTTAGAGGTTCTGAAAAGCTAAGGCAACACTGTGTGACCAAAAAAGGCCTGATTTGTGGCAGATGGGGGACTAGATTTGCCACAACAATGCACCCACTCGCACAACCATCTCACTGTGTCACTTTGGGGGGAAAACAACAGCATGCCTCTCTTGTCCCAAGCACCTTACCCACCTGACCCCACTCCAAGAAACTTCTTTGTGTTTCTGCGAATGAAGAGGGGCATGAAAGGACAGAAATTTGACGAAGCAATAGAGGTGAACAGAAAAACTAGGCAGATGCTGTCAGCCATCCAAGATGAGTTTAAAAAATATCTCTAAGAATAGAATTGTGGATTTGACAAGTGTATTAAGTGTAATGGAGAATACTCTGAAGGTGATAAAGTTGTTTTGTAAAAAAATTTAAAAACATAGCTTTGAAAAAAATCTTTTTTTTAAGGGGGTCCTCCCTCATATTTGGGTTCACTGTATAATATTTTTAGTTTCTCTGCAGGTCTGAAAATTTCTGTTATAAAATGTTTGGGAAAAGTAGGATGATTATCAAAATTCAAAAACATTTTCTAAAAAAGTATAAATATTTTCATAAATATTTTCATAAATATTATCAATTTTCCTTTTGTTGATCAATATTTAACTGTCTAATCTGCCAAAAATGACTATCTCCTAAAGAAAGAGAATTAAAGGATGATGCATTTAAAAATTTTTAAATACATACCCGAATTTCTTGAAGGTTGTGAAAATTATTTCCTACTCTGACAGAGATCTTGCTTGGTGTATAGCTTTCATCAGATTTGTAGTCTGCATAAATGCATAACGTCTTCACTGTTGTTTTTCTTCTAAAAGCAATACATTAAAAAGAACACATCATTTAGCATAAGAAAAACTATTTCTAAAAGATCATACCTTCTGATTTTAAACTAATAATACTAAATCATTTTTTAAACTGAATTTAGTATTATTTCCTTTCAGCAATGATGAAAATGAAAAACACATAGCTCTATAGGCACATAGCTCTATTTCCCCATCCTCATATAAATATATCTGCATATGTACATGTCTTTATCTAGACCTCTATAAGTGCCCTTTTCCTCCCAGCTCTTTCCTCTATTTCCCTTGATTCTCCTCCTGTCCCACTATCATGCTCAGTCCCC